ATGTTGTAAAAAAAAATTAAAATTTAACAAGTCCCTAAATATATTGTAAAATAATTCAAATTTCTTTCAAAATGAAATACTAATTATAATTTTATTATAAAAAACTAAAAAATCAAACTTACATGTACCCCGTAGATCATTTTGGGCATAGTTAAATCCATGTATCATTATTTCATCCACAGTCAATTAATTTTATTATAAAAAACTAATTATAATTCAAATCCATGTATTTCAATTAATTTTATAGAAATAGTTATTAAATATATTTTAACTTGTAAAATTAAAATTATTATCAACGAAGTTTCATTTTAGCCTATATATAATTTAACAAAAACGAATATTACTAACTTAGCAAGAATAAGTAGAAAAATCTTTTTTCCTACAATTCCTTTTTTTTTTTATAATTATAAAATAACAATATAATGTTCCTCATTACCAAAATATTAGACTGGACGGAAGAGAAGAGAAAAAAATGGAACGGTTGAGAAAGAAAACGGCGACTAGGGTTTTCCTTTTCTCACTGTGCACGTAGTTGGCATCTCCTGTTTCGACCACCACATAGCAAGGTAAGAATTCCACCACTGATTTATCTGATTTCTTCAATACCATAGCGGCAGTTGCAAATTGCAATTGAGCAATCGGGCGGAGTGGCAATATTTATTGGGGCAAAGTTATAACCTTTTATTCTTTGCAGATGATATTTGCTCTTTTTATTAGTGGATTGATACAAGAATTCTGTTTCTAGTTAATCAATTGTTAGATCATAACATTGATTTGTAGATGAGTTTTCCTTTGAATTTGATTGGTCGATAAATATTTGATAAAAGGTTTACATTTTTTTAGAATTCATTTTAGTTACTCGGCTAAATGGAAAAAAAATGATATCACGGAGTAACTATAAGCTGGAGCTTGTATGAGGCATTTCAAACAGGTCAGCATAATTGATCCTTGTACATATACATAGCGGAATTTTGTAATGGTAATTAATTTTAGAGAAACGCAACTTAAATGAAATATGTGTTTCTTATTCTTTGTATTCTTTGTTTTCTTATTTGACTAGGAATAGGATTCAGAACAGACAATCAACATTTTAAGGTTTGAAAATTTTGTTAATTTGTTGACTAATTACCCATGTTTATTTCAACTGATGGTTTTTGTTGACCGTGAAGGTTGCTATGCAAAACATTTGATGGAAAGAAATCGTCAACACGATGAAGTGAAAACTTGTTCCAGTTGCAAGGAGGGCTAATAATCACGGCTCAAGTTGAAAAGGGTAGTGTGTTTTATTAGTATTTTATCTTTTATCCATACAGTTTGCTTATTTTTTTTTTTTTTTTTTTTTATTAGTTTTTGTCGAATTAAAAAATTGCAGATATGAAATGAACATGGACCAGTAGAGTGGAAAACTGGTGCTTCTAGTTAAGTGAATATTGCAAGGGCAGCAAAATAGTTGTTGGACTTGATCGATACAGGTGTTTCATAGATCATGTGCAAACAAGAAACTGCCTCTAATCCCATAGTAAGAAAATTCATATTATATTATACAATATATTTGTTACTTAAATTAATAGTTTATATCTTAGTCTTAAGTTCAAACAATAAAAAACAGTTCTTCCATGTTTATTACATTATGTATGTTTATCTTGTCGTTTGTTGCTTTTATCTTTTAATTATATAATTTGTGAATTTCTTGTATGTATTATAGTTGTATGTATGACATATACCCAATATACTGTCAATTGTGGTCTAGTTGTGTTTTCTTGAATCTGAATATCATGTTTTAGATATTTTTTCAAAGAGAGAGAAAAAAAATACTTATTTGCTCCATTTCATTTTTTCTTCTACGAACTTGCTAACTCATTGTTTTAACTTTTCCAGATAGATACTTGCAATGGTTTCTAGTGTGAAGGCTTTACTCCTAACGAATCCTATAAACTGAAAATGTGGACTGAAGTCTGGACTGGCTGGTAACTAATCAAATTATTAGTTCTTTTTTTATACATATATACTGAAATTCTTTGTAATCTTTTTTATATTTCATTCCTTAGTGATAACTGATAAGACTCCTGATTCTGAGTTGACTCTGTATGCAACACTGCAATGAAGTAA